GATACGAGGAATAATTAAATAAATACAAAATGAATGGGCGTAGCGAGCAACTGGTTAGAGAGGCTGTGGTTGTGATCCAGTAAGCACAGCGTGACAAAGGCATTGGCAGTACTTTTTTCAGGTTTGTATAATTTCGCTATGGGATATCTGTCACTGCTGTGATGGATTCTTTACCGATGGCATCGTTGGAACTGTTCGGTAGCGTGTGTCTTTTTGCGAAGCGATTGGCTTAACGTTGCCTTTTTTCTCTCCTTCTCTCTCAAATTTCAGCTCTTGGAATAACTTTTTGTCGAATTGTCGTCCGATTTTCACGGGCTTCTTGTCAATGTGCAGAACACATACGGCTTACAAGTACACACGGCGACATTGTGAGCTGGCCTATAAATAGAACAGTTACGGATAATGAATTAAGGCAAAAGCCACACTCGCACGCTTTGTTTGCCAGCGCAGCGGCTTCTGATATATTTATTAATGACTACGGGAGGACTCTCTTTTCAACAAAATTAAGTCCTTGAAATGTAATCCAGATCATACATTTCACTGAACACGTGGACGCAAACGCGCGTCTAGAATTAGAGTAAATTGCATATGGCTTATTTGTTTTCTTGTTGAATTCATGACAATCGTGAGGCTTAATGAAGACGTGAAAATCATTCGCTTGATTTGATGCCTCTCGGAAGAGCCGTCCCTAGGGTTACGTCGAATCGGGAAGACTGCCCCTGGCCCCGCACTTTGGGGGACGGTATCTGATGTAATACTTCCGGTTTAGTTTGAAGGCGTCAGGGGGGGGGCACACACAGTGGGGTTTGCCCCAGGCCCCGCACCCCCCTTATGGATGGCCCTGCCTCTGGGGGTTATTTGTTTTTGTTGACAGGTCATTATTTAGGAGGTGATGCAGTTAAAGGGCTAATTATGCCGGCAACCAAATCTCTCTCCACGTGTCCGATCGTCGCTGGATTTCGTAAGCTAAGGAGGTGTTTGAGCGTGGTAAGTCATTGGATGGGTGACCACCAGTGCATACCAGGTGTTGTAGGCAACAATCTGTGAGTTGCCAGGAGATGGCAGCACAGCAATAGGTTTGGTCCATTCACTGGAATGGATCTGTCATTGGATTGAATCTATCTCTGCGGACTTAGAGTGTTGTACCTTCGTATGCGTGGATTTTTTTCCGGGTTCTCAGGTTTTCTCCTTGGCGCCAAATCCTCATTCATGGAAATGAGCAAACACCCCGATGCAGGACCCTGCTGATTTTTTTGTTTCAAAGACTTGATGAGCGTTAGCAGGGGAAAAGAAATGTCGAATTGCGGAAATGTGCGACGCATTCTGATTAGGTTACAGTGTACGCTCTTCAGGTTTTGTTTTACGATACTGCCCTTAGTGGCTGTTGCATCATCGCCACACGTAATTGCACCTTCATGCGAACAATTTATTAACCTGAATTGCACTCGAGGAGCAGAAATGTTGTGTGCCCCTTCTCCGTGCAGAGATAATAGCTTTGCTCGTCCCGTCACCAACAAACAACAAAAAAACCCCAGAGCATCCAAAAACATTTAACATTTGCGGCGTTTCGTTGTGCCCTGACAACCTTAACGAAGCGTTTCGTGAACATATGCTGAGTTTGTGATCTTGTCAGGTACCAAAAGAGTTGATTGTTTTACGAGGCACCCCTTCACTTGGGCCCAATTATCCGAAGCGCCCGTGTGCTTTCTACCTAATGGCGCTTGTATGAAATAGACCCTCGTCAATGGACATTACGGAGCCCCTGTGTAACGGCGACACGCGTTTTATGGACAATCAATGGGGAACGCGATACGACAATTTTTTTTTATCAAACCGATTAAAAGGCGCGAGCGACAAAGGCCGTCGGGAAAAGGCAACGGCAGTGCGGAAGCTTCGCTGTATTATTTATCAACAATATCACATCCCCTCCCTTTCGTAGTCTCTCGCTGATCAAGGGCGACTTCCTTCCACCGTGGCACCGTGTGTACTGAGATAACTGAAGGGCCCAAAATGCGAGATGCCCAGATTCTGTCGCAGGTGGGTCAGGAGGTTTTGGGCGCGATGGATCGGTGGGTGGGTGGGTGGAGTGAGCTGCAGAGCACCCGATTGGCTTCCTTGTGCGCTCGCCGATGAGACTCAAGATGAACGATGCCAACCCGAATGCTTCTCCTTCCAAGTTTGTGCGATCTGGAGCCGATGTAGATGTCACATTTTTTTTTGTCAACGCCGTGACGTGGCGTTGACACACGACCCGGCGTTTGACTTGCAATCCGCGCGTCAAACACATCGATGTGATTTAAAGGCTACATTTGGAGTTAACATTATTTTTATATGGTTGTATTTTGGAGCTGAACAGGTGGCTCAATGGTAGACCCAGCCCATCATCTCTCTGGGGTTCGAGAAATTAAGTACCACTTTGTGGGGAAGTCAACAGTGGTTGTCCTATGGAGAGGCCTCCCTCCCACCATAAAAATGTGGAATTTGCACCACTGGGTCAGGGCTGTAAAGGGGATATGAGCACCACCTCAATGCCCATTTGAGCAGAATGCGTTTATTTTATTTTTACATGTTCTACACGATCTTTTTTATTTTCGCCTTGGTGGACAGCTTAAGAGCGCGTACCCTGGGGGGGGGGGGGGGGTTATATGATTACCTTTATTTAATTAACTTACCGTTTTGCCCCGTTGCATGCGCGATTAAGCAAAACAAAAGATAGCTCCCAGCTGTGTGGCATTTCCAAGCGGCTTCGCAGTACAACGAACAAATACCTGGCACGGCACATACGCACACCCCTCCTGGCTGCTTGCAACTCGGTAAACATGTAAAACGCGCACCGCTGGAAGCCCTCTCGCAAGCACCCATGCTGCCACACTTTGAAGGTGCAAAGGCTGCAGCAGCGAGTGACACCACTCTTTTTTGTTATGCGTGTTCAAATACATATTTTTCGGGTCCGAGGTGGGTGCAGCAGTCGCGCAATGCCCCCCCCCCCCCCCACCATTCCTTCATTAAACGCGCAGCGAGCAGTTGTGATGAAGAATTACCAAATAACCTCCCTGACTAATATGGCTGTAAGGAGGCAGGCCTTGATCAAGCAGTGGATCGACAAAGGACTGTACTGTATAGTCATTTCAAGGTCCGTAAGTACCGTTGTGAAAAGTCTGTGATTTCCAGCTAAATTTAGCACGAGGCAGTGTCCATCTGCTGTTTACATCCCCGAGCCAGTGGGGGACATTCCTCATTCCTATGGCAGGGACGAATCTTTCCATAGGGCAACGACGGTTCTTCCACACATCGTGGTATTCATGTTATCAACCCTGGAGGGCTGGAGGACTGAGTCAACCCCAACCTCTTGATCAGAATGAGAATATTTATTTATACTGAAGGAATCCAATGAGCTATAAAGCTTTCTTTATTCACAGCTATCCAGTAGAGCTGTCCACTGTACTTCTATACGCTCTACTTCTGAGCCATCCAGCCAGATCTCGTGGCCGGAGACGTGAAGGGTGGCAGAGGATAAACATTGATAATCAACATCAGTCATTGCTAATCCACCGCTGGATAAAGGTCTCCCAAAGCCGACGCTGTCGCTCACGAATCTGAGATGTAACAATCCACGTAGAACCAGCACACGATAATGATTGCTCGGCTTCATCTCCTCGGTTGGTGTCCTCTCCTATTCGCTCCTTTCCACGGCTGCCACTCCGCTACTATCATCCCGTCGAGTGAAGATTTATTCGCGCCTTGAACTTACGTCTTAAATATGACAGAAATATGAACCGAACAATTATTCACCTCGTTACTATGAAATGGATCGGTAAATTCGATGCAGCGGCCAATGAAAGAGCCGTGAGTATTGGCAATTCTGTGCCAAGATGCATTACAAAAGCCATAACGCCGCATCGATGACATCCGCGCACGTCTCGAAATTTCACGAATAGACCAAATAAGTTTTTTTTTATCCCACCCACTCGGTTGCGACGTGCAAATCCAACTCGTTTCTTTTTTTTTCTTTCAGAAAACAACGATGGCAGGTACAGAAACACGATATATATACAGTACATATTTTACCCGACCAACACACAAAGACAAGCGATTTCTATTCACAGTGTGGCAATGCTATTTTCCCTTTAGTTTCGTGAAAGATAAGAGGTTTAATTCACCTCGTTGACATTGTGAAAAATGGATATTTCAAAAATATATATGACTTTTTAACAATCAGCATTTGCTTTGGGTGTTTAATGAATGCACTTGCTTGAAGCAACCACCCAACTCTCCATTATTGATCGGGCGGTATTGATCGCAATTTAACGTCGAACACTCGATAAGAATGCATCTCGTCCTTAAACACTTCCAGTGAGTATGAAGCATCTGAGGACAGCCTTTTTGACCTCAAAATGTCACATTCCTGTCTCAAAAGACCTTGCCAAATGTCTGACATTTGTACCGATCGGGGTTGTCCTTTGCGGACGACGGATACATATGGAAGTTTATATATTTCATGTTCATCTTTGTTGCCACAATTTCTCTCCCCTGCTGTGTCAATGACTTCAGAAAACTAATGTGCACATTAAATTGCCATGTTAGCATGTATGAGACAGAGTGCAGTCTGGCTTCATATGCATTCAATCCATTACAGAGAAAAGCCAAAGCAATCGAATGTGCTTATTTGCAAAGAAGCTATTGCTCTGAAAGAAAAGCAAAATCCAGATGCATTTCATGATCCTAATGATTAATCAACGATGCCGTAGTTATTAGTTTTTTTTCTTTCTAACTTGTGTGTGTGCTGCTCTGCAGCGAAATTGAATGACATTTGAAAAAGTCTCTTCTGTCGCTGCAGGAAGCACAGCCTCGAGCTAATTACTTAAACCAAATTGAATTCCCTTCCTTTTAAGCATTCTAAACGCATCTGCAGAACAGCGGGTTACCAGATCAATACAGAAATGAGGAACGGAGGGATGCGCGCACACGCACGCACGCACACACGCGCACACGACGCTTACCTGCAGAGTTATTGGAACATCGGAGCTGCAGCGTTACTAGTTTTGTCCTCTGTGCGATAACCTTGTGAGTGTGGCTGACGGCCGCGCTTGAGAATGCACCGGACTGGTGAGGGTGTTGTTGTTGTTGCTGCTGCTGCTGGGAGCGCCGCTGTCCGTTACCGCGCGAATCACAAACCGGAGCTTCCCACTTCGGGGTTCATCGTCGCGACCAATCCAAAAATTACCCAGGGGGGTGGGTGGAGGAGGATGTGGTGGGGGGTGCACACGCGCATCGCTGCGATGGCGAATGAGCCCACGCTTGCTGGGATCCTTTAAGTTATTTTGTTTTCTGCGTGCAGAAATATAATTCGCGGGTGTGTGTTGTTTACCCAAAATAAGTTTGCCTCTACAGAGGACGTTCGCCAAACTGCCCGCGGCAGCGACAATCCGACAATCAGGACGACGGCGGCAATCGGAAATGAATCGACTCCCCCTTCCCACCTCGTGGGGCAGAAACGCATTAGACGAAATGTGCGTCTGAAATAGGCAGGGTGGGTTTCCAACGTGTCGAGTTAAATTGTATACTTGTTTGTTGCATTGCTTTAAAAGCAAAAAAAGACATACGTATTTTAATTATAAGTCTTTTCCAGGGAAACCTTATTCAAATGTATATTACATTATTGGGTCTTTCGGTAAAGTCACGTAGATAGATTCAAGAATAATATACAAGAAAATGAATTCCTGCCGTCACGAAAGCTTTAAGTCCTTATTAAAATTCTTATTTTGTATTTGGACACATTTCATGCAAAAAAGAAACTGAAATCAATGAGTTCACTTACCCTGGGTAACGTGAGCTTGATCCGTGCAAGAGAAAGTAATTGGCTACTTAAGCGGAGTCATTTTATCATCACAAAGAGTGAAAAAATAAAGACGTCCCTAATAAAATAAAAATAAAACTGATCTAGGCTGTCTTTGTCATAGCTGTCCGAAGGCATGCCCAGCTTTCAGAGAGGGGAAAAACCATGAAGAAAACTAAAAGGACGATACAAATTTGTATAAATATCTTCCCCCAGCTTATCTTTCGGCAGATGAACCAACGAGAAAATCTGCTTCAACGGGCGCGTCCTTCTTGTCAGTGCTTGCGGAGACGCACGAACACAGACATGCGACAGATGCGTCCAATTGCTCCTAATCTTCACAGCGGCACTTGGAGGATGACTGGGACATCCCTAGTAATAAATAAATAAAACATAAGGCGCATGACACACACGTGTGTCTCAACGTCGATCGTCAGCCACGAGGGGTTTTTTTTATCTCCCCCCCCCCCCCCCCCCCAGATAGAGGCGTTCACACCGCCGAGCGAGCGTGCGTTGTGTGCGTGCGTGTCGCGCGCGTTCGCGTCGCCTGCCCAAGAACGGCTCGAGGCTGCGGGCCCGGCTTGAGGCTGCGTCGCCTCTCGTGGCGCCGGGCGTGTGCACGTGGCGTGCGTCTTCTGGGACAGAATGGGGAGCGGTGGCGCAGCGGTTAGCGCGCTCCGCGACGTACCCCCCAACGCCGGTGACGATTATCTGAACCGGCTCTGGGCTTCCCTTAGGTCGACTCGGCCTCCAATGAGAACCTGGTGCGGTGTGTAGTAAACATCGCCACAGGGGAGACAAAGGAGTTCGGGCGTGGTGCTGTTAAGGCTATACGGGCGCTCTTTCTCTTTGTTTTGTCTGAAACAGAATGTTTATATGGGTAGCCAGAGTGAGATGTAAAATGTTGTAAATGTGAAGAGCCATGTTAATGCACCCATTGACGTTTGCGCTGAGAGCACCTTCAATAAACGGAACCAAACTCAGAATGGGGCGGGGGGACAAACAGAGCAACGTTGCCTCGTTTGTTTGGGTTTCGTTTTCTGAAATTGCTTCCAGGAACGTGCAGCGTCCCGGTTCAATGAAATTGGAGCGTTCGATTTGAAACGTTAAAATACAAACTGCGGCCTGTGTGACACACTTATGTGCTGAAAAACAACACTTCGCGACGCGTCTGAAAATAACAATTTATATTGGTGAACAAGAAACACTGTGTGTGTATGTATGTAATAACGCTCCGGTTACTTTGGATGTCTAGATTTTATTAACATTCGTTTGATTCAAGGAGGCGTAGGGCATAGTTGCAGCAACTGAGTGTGGCATCTGAGAGTGTAACTCACAGGCTTCATATAAATCTCATGGCAACACGGACACCCGGTGTCAAAATCTTCTGCGTAATCGCCACTTTGCTGGTGCCATCTTCTTGGGAAACTCTTCTCCTTGATGCTGTGCCAATTAAATGGGCAGACTGGTGGTTGTAGTGGAGACGGGTTCTGTTTGCCAATTCACCACCACCACCACCACCCACACCAGCTCTCTGATTATCCCCTTGACTTCCAATTTGCTCCAGAAAGGTGGCAGAGTTCAGATCGCAAAAGCTGGTCCCCCGCTCACTCAGCTGTGCGATAAGGCTGAGGGGAAGAGGCGGACGCGCAGAGAATGATGATAATAAAATGATGAGAAGCCCAGAGCAATCTCTCCCCTGCGCATCAGCGATACGTGTGAATAACGCTGGTAGGCCTGGCATATTTGTTATGCGCGGAGCAGCAGAAAAATCAATGCTCCATGTCTATTGTCTAGCTTCACCTCGGGAATTGTTTTAAAAAAATGTGAAAGGTGCAGCCCTGCAATTGCGGTAGGAGTACATCCCGTTCTAAAACGCTTCCATCGAGTGTGAAGCATCCGAGGACAGCCGTTCTTTTTACCTCAAAATGTCACATACCTGTCTCAGAAAGACCTTGCCAAAGGTCTGACATTTACACTTAGGGTTTGTCCTTTGCAGACTACGAATACATATGGAATTTTATTTATTTCATGTTCACCTTTGTTGCCACAATTGCTCACACCTGCTGTGTCAAATAATTCAGAAAATTAATATACGAATAAAATTGCCAGATTGCTTAATGGATGCTATTTTGGCCTACTGCATCACGCTGGCTGTACATATTTATGCATGTTGGAATTCGTTGGCACCGTGCTCATCGGAGGTGCATGGGAATGGCAACGATCGAAACACAAAAAAGCACTTCTAAAGAAATTAGTTTTCAATTTAGATTTAAAAGAGCGTTCCAGACGAACCGCAGAAGCGCATCCGAAAGCAACGCGATGTGGCCTTTGATCGATTGTTAGCCAAAAGCTGCTGCGCGGATAACCACAGTTCGCGCGATGATCCATGCTGCTTAACGAGATTAGCGAGGCATCGTCGTTCGTTTGTGGCAAGCACTTTGTGTGTAATGAGTGCGACCTTATTATCACGTATTCGTTCCGCAAACTGGAAACCAATTCAGCTCGGCGAGCACCGGACGGACACGATCGGATCTTGCAATGCCTGACGTGACACGCGCCCAAAAAATGTTGCACACGCTGCAGATTGCTACTGTTTTTTTGCCAGACGTCTCGTAGAGTAGTGAGTTGCAATAATCGAACCTTGTTGATACTATGCTACATGCCAACGTGGTGGCTATGTCACGACTCACTAGTAGCCGAATGTGTTGAAGCAATGGCCTAACAACCCCCAAGGCTGAAAATGTGCGAAAGAAGCCTTGATCCAGCTGTGGGTTGACAAAGGACTGACAATTATTTTTTATAATCATAAACCCATATGCCCTCCTGTACATATGCATGCAAACACACGATATGTGTTCTCTTCTTTATCCTAAAGTAAAATTGCATAGAATAGAATAACGAGTTTTATTTCTACGTATTTTTTTAAAACATTAAAGTATTGAAACTAACCAACAATTTGATTAATTAGGAATATACAATGTCACATCACAACAAGGGTAATGTGCATATAGCCGAATATTTATACAGTAAAAAATATATATATTCTGAATAACATAAATAGTACCTCTACAGCAACTCATAGCAATCGTAACATCTGGCAACCCAGCAGCATTTGTTTAATGAGTCTGACTGCTGATGAGACCCAGAATATCAAAACCGGTCCAGGGTTTGCTTGAAAAAGCAAATGCTCCTGGATAATATTGGTCTAGAAAGTTAAAACACATCCATATTATTCATTGAAGCTCTGTCGTCCCGACAAGGTCTGTACCTTTCACCTGAAGACGGCCGCTTGCATTGTGGCCGAAACGTCGTGAGAATTTTATTGTGTTATTTTATTATTTTATTCTCATTCTACGTGACCTTGCCGAAAGAACCAAAGAAGAATATTAGGTTACTTGACGTAATTAAAATTAAAATACAATGGCTTATGATAAGCAGGTAGTATGCAAGTGGGTGGCCAATGAACCATCAATTGTCACTTGACTGTGCAACTACAAAGCATCACAACTACTTGGTTTTACTGCTAAACCTCTTGGAACCAAAAGTGACAAGGCTAATGAATGGGCAATTGAGTCCACACAGAATTGCACTCCTTAACGTTCCACCCCGGAGATCAGCCAGTGTGGGGTGGGGCTCTAATTTGGGTTAGCACAAAAACAAGATGGGTTCGCCTTATTGCCAAAATTAAAAAAAATCACAAAATAAATGCAACAATGTATTTGCTTATTTAATCACCATCATCATCCTCCTCCTCCTCAAAAGCCATGATCAATCCACTTCTGGATTAAGGCCCCTCTTCGTAGTCACCAACCCTCACGGTCTTGCAACGGTAGAATCTATTTTGCCCGGATCTCCTCGGGCTTTGGAAGCTAAGCCGGTAGGAGCCTGGTTAGGACTTGGATGGGTGCTTGCTGTGGTTTGCCAGGCGTTGGAGGTAACGGGGCTGTGAGGTGGCAGTATTGTGTGTCATCCCCCTTGTGTGCATGGATTTTCGCACGTGAATCCAAATGCTTATATACGGAATTGGCCACATCAACCAATGCAGGACCCTCGTGAATGCATTTTTCTTCAGACTCAGTGAGGCTTTTCCGAGTAACGAATTGCCATTATTGTTATTTTTTCTACTTATATACATAGGCTGATAATCGATAATGAAAAAATGCAATATGCGAAAAAGATGTATTTGCTTTAGTTGAGCACGTTTATTCCATATTCTTCCCATTGAGGGATGCGGTAATTTTTTAAAGGGTGGATTGTGAATGATGGAATACATCTATATTCCACGTGACATATGGAGCCAAGATCCATTGCAATTGGCATCATTATTTATTATTTCTCCTCTGCTCCCACTCGCTAAATTGACCGCTTATGGCAAGCCCTGTGCCTGACGACTGCACACAGTATGGTAAACAAAGCAAGCACACACATAGGGCCCTGAGCAGCTCAAAGGGCCGCAGATTCCCGTGGCATATACTAACACTATAATGAAAATAAAAAAAGTAAATTAATCTTTCTCATCTCTATCGCGTCTGCATCTCTCTTCTCTCATCTCACTCGATCTCTATAACTGTGCGTACCCGTTGTCTCCGTGTCGACGTCATTTCAAAATGTATTGCGTTGGGCGCCCAATTGGCCAGCACTAGCACCAGTGCATCCAGAGACTCAAGTTGGCATGGCCAGTGCTGGTGCAACGCTGGCAGAGCTCTGGGCACGTGGGCACCTCCATAATAAACCGGCCTACGCGGTCACTGTGACAAAAAGAAGGCACTCTACAAGCCATTGCACTATATCACCTTGGCGCTAATGGGCAGACTGCTGTGCCCTTTAGAAGATGGGCAGGGAGTGGATGAGATTAAGAATGATGCCTGTGTCAGACAATGGTAAATGGGGATCCCTGGAGTCACGGGGGGCTCAATGAAAACGTGCGAATAACAATCGCTGACATTTCATGCACTTAGGGCTCTATTGCC